TTTTTGCAGATAAGAAAAGCAAAATAGAAGGAGGTTGTGTACAACCCTCTATAATAGACACAAAATAGTCATTATATGTTTTTTGGTGGTAGCATGATCAGTGAACTATCATTATCCATAAATAGCAGCTTCTGCATGTAGCCTGGTCAACCCAGTTCAGTATTGGGCTCCTCCAGAGAAGGGGGTAGAGACAATAGCAAGACTGTTGGTGATTAGAGTGTCACTCACCTTCTGATCAAAGGAGGTTGATCTGTGAGGACTACACTGAGATGCTTCATGTTTGACTTGAAATTTCCCCAGGAGAGGATCACTTGTTCCTATGGCTGAGTTTCCATTTCACCTTGCTTTTTTTTAATCTTTATTGTAATATTTACTTCATTTTCTTGAATATTATGGCTAGTTGTTCCAATGAGTCATTCCCTGTAGATTTGTTCTTTTGAGTGGTGGAAATATCTTTGTATGTTTTCTTTAAAATCTTTTTTTTTTTAAAGATTTATTTATGGACACAAGAACTGGGGTACAGGTCAGAGGTGCGGGGGAGGGGAGAAGTGAAAGAATTCTCCAGCGACAGAGTGGGAGCAAAACTACTGAAACGCACTGCTGAAGGGTAGCATGCAAAACAAGAGAAGTCTGCTATGCCATGTGGGTCATCTCTCTGTCTGGGATCAAACCTGTGCTGCTTTGGCTGCAGATAGCTTCATAGTGCTGTGCTTTAACCTCTTGTGCCCACAGGGAGATCCCCCCCCCTTTGTATCTTTTATAGTTATAGCACAGTGCTTTGTGTGTAGAACAAGTTTAAACTGGTAATCCTTGTGTGTGGCTAAGTAGCACCCTTTAAAAGGTTTATTTATTTATACAAGAACTGGGTACAGGCCAGAGATACAGGAGGTGAGAGGATTCACCAGAGACAGAGTGGAGAGAAGAACAGGTAGATCCACTGAAATCCACTGCTGAACGGAGCAGTGGGCAGGTCAGAAAAGGTCTGCCACGCCATATGGGTCATCACCCTGATTGGGGGTTGAACTCATGCTGTATTGGCTTCATAGTGCTGTGCTTTAACCCAGTATGCCACCAGGGAGAGCCCAGTAGAAGAATTTAAAAATTTGCAAAATTAGAGTTCCAACTGTGCTACTTTAATAAGCCACATCAAATCCTTTTCAAACAAGATAGGTATAAATAAATAACCATTTAGAAAAAGAGTATGAATTATAAATAACTCTCCCCTTACCTAAAGTTTCAGAAGTATGATATATTTTATTATAAATAGTAGTTTTATTAGGGTATAATTCACTTATCAGGCAATCTACCCATTAAAATACATGATTCGGGCCCTCCCTGGTGGCACAACAGGTTAAAAAGCTCATAGCACTATGAAGCTATTGCAGCCACTGCAGCACAAGTTTTGATCCTTGGCCAGGAAGGTGACGCCATGGCCCAGCAGACCTCTCCTGACCCACGGCTGCTCCTCTCAGCAGTGTATTCAGTACATCTGCACGTTCTGCTCCCCACTCTTGTCTCTGGTGAATCTGCTCACTTCTCTCTTCCCCAACACCTCTGGCCTGTACACCAGTTCTGTATGCGTAAATAGATAAATCTTTAAAAAAATAAAATATATGATTCAATAGTTTTAGAATTTTCATAGAGTTGTACAACTGTCACTACAAGCAACTTTGGAACATTTCATTATTCCAAAAATAAACCTTGCACACATTAATTGCCATTCCCTTTTTCTCTCTAAACCTCTGTTAACTATAGATTTGCTCTTCTGAACAATGGAATCATGTAATATGTAATCTTTTGTGTTTTTTTTTTTTTCACTTAGCCTAGTGTTTTCTTGGTTCATCCATGTTATAGAATATTTAATTTTACTGCTGAATAATATTTCATTAGATGGATACATCCCACATTTTATTGATTCATCTTTTCATGAACATTTGTTTTTTTCCCCATTTTTGGCTATTATAAATGATATTACTAATAGCATTGATTTATAATTTTTATGTGGATATATGTTTCATTCATGAGTAGATAGCTAGGATTGAATTGTATGATGACTCTCTGTTTAACCTTTTGAAGAACTGTCAGAATGTTTTCAAAGCACTTCACTACATTTCATAATACAGCTAGCAGTGTATGAGTTCAGTTTCTTCACATCCTAACCAACACTTGTTATTTTCTGAGTATAGTCAACCTAATAGGTAAAATGGTATTTCATTGTGGTTTTGATTTTCATTTCCCTGATGGCTAATGACACACAAACAAGAACATTCTCATATATAGCCACAATACAATCATCAAAATCAGAAAATTAACATTGATGCAGTTTTACTATCTTATCCTCAGATCCCATTCAAGTTTTGCTCATTTTCTAAGTAATGTCCTATATAACAAAGTAACCCAGTCCAGAATCACACATTTCACTTTGTCATGCATGATTCTTTAGTCTTCAGTCTGCAAGAGGTCCTCATTCTTTCATTTATCATTTTTGAAGGTCATACAAGTTTTTTTTTTTTTTAAGATTTATTTATTTATATAGAACTGAGGTACAGGCCAGAGGTGCAGGGGCGGTGAGAAGATTCAGTATAGTCAGAGTGGGAAGCAGAACAGGCAGATCAACAAAGTACACTGCTGAGGGGAGCAGCAGGCTGGTCAGGAGAGTTCTGCCTCGCCTTGTGGATCAACTCCTGGGCGGATGGAACTCACAACAGGCGACCAGCTTCACAGTGCTGAGCTTTAACCCACTGCCCCACACAAGTTTTTTGTAGGTTGTCTCTCAGTCTCACTTTGTCTGGTATACCGTAGTGATTAGATTCTATTTGGGAGAATTTGTTATGAATATCAGAAGCACTTTTATGCCCTTCTTCATGCATCCTATTGGGGCCCTGATTTCACACTTATTAGTGGTATTAACCTTGATTAATTGATTAAGGTGTTTTTTTGCTAGGCGTATATTAGTTTTTTTGCTTTTGTGATTAATAAACACTTTGTGGGAAGCCCTTTGAGATGTAAGTCCTCTCATTAATCTTTCAGTTTTTCATTAAGTTATTTTTATCTGCACAAACACAGATTGCTATTTTGTTTAGTGACTTATATTCTCATACTATTATTACATTAATGCTCTGTTCCAGACTTGGTAGTGAGAGTCCCTTTAAACTAGCTTCTTTATTCTTTTGTCAGAGCCCCTCATTCTTGGAGCACTTATTATTTAGTACAACATCAGTTCCAGATTAATTTCTCCAAAAGCCATCATTCCTTTTAATAGATAATCACAGTAGAACCAAGACCTTGGTGATAGGTGTGCATGTTATGGTTCTGCTGATGCCAGGACCTTTCAGGGAACAGAGGTAGGCAGTAGTTGTATTTCTTATATGCACAAACATTTGCACCTGTATACTTAGCTGAAATCTATTAGCTTGCGTCAATAGCTGCAGTTCAGTCCAGTACAGATGATTCATTCTTTTTTGTATATTTACCCATAGATATTTTTTAAAGATTTATTTATTTTATACAGAACTGGAGTACAGGCCAGAGGTGCTGGGGGATGAAAGTATTCACCAGAGACAGAATGGGGGGGGGGCAGAACAGGATGACTGAGGAAGTACACTGCTGAGGGGAGCAGTGGGCAGGTCAGGAGAGGTCTGCCAGCCATGTGGATCTCCTCCGGGGCAGGGATGGAAATCATGTTGAAGTGGCTTTAGCTTCTTAGTGCATGTTAAACCTGCTGCAGGAGAGCCATCATTTCACTTCTATTTACCCTATTGATTCTCTTTGTGTACCAGGGCTTCATCTTACTCAGTGAAATAACTTTGATAATGAAGGTCTTAGAAATTTCCTCAGTTTTCCCATTGATCATATTGGCAATAACCTTGTATAAAATATCAAGCAAATCCTTGATGTCTAAGTATTTTGCAGCCAGAAGTAGTTTAAAAAGTGTTCCTTGATCAACTTTCAGAATTTGGCCCCAAACGAGGTCATCTATTTACTTTTCTTTGTACTCATCCTCAGGAGGAGGGTCATCCTTGTGGTAGGTGCCCTATTCAATGAACTTTGTAAATAATATTGCATTAACATATGGGTCATCAGCTCTATCATCATACATTCCCAGATCTTCCAGTATGGTCTTGATGGTCATAGATTGCTTGGGAATCTCCCTATCAACCTCAAATATCACTCCTGAGTCACCATTCTACAACTTTGGTCTCAAAGAGATGACAGTCTAGAGGCTGATGGCAGGGAATAGCATCAGTAAAAAGAAACTTTTCCATGTTTGTAACTTCCATTTTAAACTATGAGAAACCTGGCCTGTCTTATCTTTATTTATTTTTTCTTCCATTATTTTTAATAGTAACTACTTGTCTGACCCATGTCTATGTACTCTGTCTCTTACTGCATTTCCCCGTCACCTTCCATCCTCTGCCCAAGTTGAAACACTTTTCACCCTTATTGGTTTTGCCCATTGCATTGGGTTGCTCACATTCAGGACTGTGTCCTTATGGGCTTGGAATCTAATACTCTGTGATATGCCCTTATTATTTAGCTTCAACACCACGTGCCAGGCTGTTCCCATAAAAAGCTCAAGCTGTTGCCTCCTGGATGGTCATAGTCCTCCATTACTTCTTTGGGTTCTGATACCAACTCTGGGCTATCATACCTATACTGGCCTCTTAATGTTTTGGGATGAAAATGTTTGTGAATGGCCTTCACATTGTCTTTTGAGATACAATGAAGTTTTTTTTAGAAACCTTTCAAAATTAAAAATCACATTTTGTATGAAAGAAAAAAGCTTAAAATACTTGAAATTTTTACTTTTCAGCAATTGTTGATAGAGTTCTAAATAATTCCTTTGTCTAATGTTTAACATTTATCATAAAATAATAACTTGACTTACAGTTATTTGAATCTTAATATATGTACATAGGTTAATGAACTGTTCCTTACTGAAGAAATTAGAAAACAAATAATAACTTATATCTATAAAATAATATTAATTTCTTTTCTAGCTCTTCCACCAAAGCCACCTAAGCCAATGACTCCAGCCATTACTAATGGAATAAAGGACAGTTCTGTTTCTCTTCAGGATGCAGAATGGTACTGGGGGGATATTTCAAGGTAACTAGAATGCTACTATAATTGAATGTATATTTTAAAATATTTTGAAGATTTGTAGTTAAAATATTTTAATTCCCCACTAGTCATTTAAGGATTACCATTATAAAAATATATGAGAACATCCCCCAAATTTCTCGATGCTTTTCTTCACATTAATGGGAGTGGTTATAATTTTTAATACTACATTGAGTATACATTTCTGAATAAGTGAAATGTACGTATTTAGTATAGTTGCATGTATTTTAGGATTAAAAACCCTTATGGATACTTAATTTTCCTTACCCTCCTCTAAGATAATGGTTCCACCATTTTTGCATGCACAATAATCAATTGGAGTAGACCTTAGGAATCAGTTAAACAATATCCCTTAGCAATTTTGATGCACCCTTCACATACATCATTTTTTTTTTTTTTTTTAAGATTTATTTATTTGTACATACAGAACTGGGGTACAGGCCAGAAGCTCAGGGGCGGCGAGAGGCTTCACCAGAGACAGAGTGGGGAACAGAACAGGCAGACCGACGAAGTACACTGCTGAGAGGAGCAGCGGGCGGGTCAGGAGAGGTCTGCCACGCCATGTGGTCACCTCCAGGGCAGGCGGGAATCGAACTCATGCGGAAGCGGTTTTAGATTCTCAGTGCTGTGCTTTAACCCGCTGCGCCACCAGGGAGGGCCCACATACATCATTTTAAGAAACTGGACTCTATGCTAGATTGCCTTTTGGGTAAAATGCGGTTTTGGAAAAAAATTGATTCTAGGGAAGGAGATACATGCACACATTTAATTTTAATATTGTGCTTTCTTGTTCCTATATGACTATCCATTTCTGTCAGCTCAGGTTCCAGATTGATGATTTATTCAATATGTTTGTTCTTCCTTTATTCTTGTCTATTCTTCTCCATTACCAAATTGGCATTTCCTTTTTGTTACCATTTTAACCATCTTTAAATGTATATATATATAGTACAGTTGCAGAAAGCACATTTCCCTTGTTACATAGGTAATACTGCTAGCCATTTCTGAAAATGTCTCATCTTCCCAAAGTGAAACTGTACCCATTAAATATTCATTAATCCACTAATTCCACTTTCCTCATATTCTCCCAGTTTCTGGCAACCTCTGTTATATTTTAAATTTCTATGCATTGACAACTCTTAGTACCTCATACAAGTGAAACCATACAATGTTTGTCCTTTTACTTGGCATAATGTCTTCAGGATTCATACATGTTATATAGCATGTATCAAAATACCTTTCCTTTTTAAGGCTAAATAAGACTTCACGCACGTGTGCACACACACCGATCACATTTTAATTTACTCATTCATCTGGACATTGGACTTTAATGAACACTGACTATTTCCAGCATTTGGCTATTGTAAATAATGCTGTTATGAACACTGGTGTAAAAACATTTGTTTGAGTCCCTGCTTTCACTTCTTTTAGGTACATACCCAGAAGTAGCACTGTTAAGTTATGTGGTAATTCTGTGTTTGATTTTTTTAAAGAAGAAAATATATATTATATTAAAATTGATCAGAAAAATATATTTTAGCATTAGAGAATAATGCCATAAATAATGTATTATATTTAAATACCATATAATTTATAGTTTAACATCATCTTTAATTCCAACATCTTTTAATGTTCTGACATCTCCTTTGAGTTGCGATGTTTTTACTTAAAGACATAAGTCAGCTCTGCAGAAGGAATTTGTTATCAATATATATTCAAATTAGGAAACATATTGAAAGGCTGTAAACTCAGTAAATCTCTATCTCTCTATTCAAGCTTACTTGCCATCATTGCTTAAATTTAACCTTCTTTCTAAACAATTACTGTTTTTTCCTGAAACTATAAACTCACATTTGCCTAAGGATGCCCTAAAAGTTTAATAAGAACACTATCTCCTATAGACAGTTGGAATCTAGAAGTTTATAATACAGATAGTTCTTGGGGTCCCCCTGGTGTCATAGAGGGTTAAGTCTCAGCACTGTGAAGCTGTCTGCAGCCACTGCAGCACCAGTTCAATCCCCAGCCAGGGAGCTGACCTACATGGTGCAGCAGACCTCTCCTGTTCTCCTGCTGTTCCCAGAGCAGCATTCTATTCCCTACTCTGTCTCTGATGAATCTTCTCACCACCACCCCCACCTCTGGCCTTTACCCCACTTTTGTATATACAAATAAATAAATCTTATTAAAAAAACAGCAAATATTTTTTCCTTAGAATGCATTGTATTGAAAAATCAAAGCAGAAAAAAACATATCTGGAGTAGAAACTAAATGACTTCCACAAGCCCCCATGATTCTGTAACCTTAGATCTTACTCTCCTCCCAAGAAGCCTTATTCACAATATGTGAAAAAAACAACAGACACTTCTTCATTTTATTTTTTTCTATGATTCTGTTCTTTAGGGAGGAGGTAAATGACAAGTTACGGGACATGCCAGATGGTACCTTCCTGGTCAGAGATGCCTCAACAAAAATGCAAGGAGATTATACTTTGACACTACGGTGAGTATTTTTCAGCATTGCTCGTGTTCTATTAGCATAATTTCTCAGTATACAAATATATTTCTGTGCTTTATTTAAATCTTTAAAGACACTTTTTCAGATCATTTAATTTAGATACGTACTTTTTAGTTGTTTGGTTAACTATTTTTTGTGCATTAAATATTTAAATGTCATATAAAATTAACAATAATTTTTATTTTTATGTAGCAATAAAATGAAAAGGCTAAAATTCTCAAGTGTGTTAGGAAGTCAAAAATTATATACTTTTGACCTTATGAATGAAGTAGAGATTATCATAACCTATGGTTATTGATAAGTGGGAATCCATAATAACTCTACATTATATGTGTTATATCCATATGTATCTATAACTATATACTGTATATCCATCTAATATATGTTTTTTTCAATGCAAACTTCAGAAAGTAAAAGTCAACGTAATTTAGGTTGATGAGTGTAGAAGAGGTCTGTTTATGCTGTTGATATGGGCAATTTAGAATCTTATAATGGTAGATTACTTTTTACATTTACAGAGATGAGGCGTATATTTAGAAAGATTAAGAAAGCTGTTTTAGATTTCCACATTTGGGGTTTCCCTGGTGGCACAGGGATTAAAGTGCAGCACTATGAAACTATTAGCAATCACTGCAGCACTAATTCCATCCCTGGCCAGGGAGCTGGCCCACATGAAGCAACAGATCTCTCCTGTCTCTGCTGCTCCCCTCAGCAGTGTATTTCAGTACATCTGCATGTTCTGCTCCCCACTCTGTGTTTGGTGAGTCCTCTAAACCCTGCCCTACACCTCTGGTCTGTAGTCCAGTTCTTGTATTTATAAATAAATAAATCTTTAAGAAAAAAAGATGTCCACATTTAATTTCAAATCTTGTGATTTTAAAATGGGATTATCTAAGAAAATAGTAATAATGAACAATGACAACTCACTTGTATAGTATCTTATTTCTTTCTCACAGTAAACTGATGAGGTGCAGCTTTTATTATTTCCATTTTCTAAATGAAAGCAACTGAAGTTTAACCTGATTAAGAAACTTGCCTAAAGACATAGAATAAGTTGCAGAGTATATCTTCCAATCCAAATTTATCTGGCTTTTTGCTGCCTTTCCAGCCCAATATCTCTAGTAAATATAATCCCACATTTTATGCTAGAAACTCTGTTAAAGATATTAAAAATTAAGGGCCTTCCTGGCACAAGGGGTTAAGTTTCAGCCTTTTGTAGCTGTTGGCAGGCACTGCAGCATAAATGCACTCCCCAGCAAGAGAACAGCAAGCAGACCTCTTCTGGTGCAGCAGGACCTCTGCTGTCTTGGCCACTACTCCCCTCAGCGGTGTATTTCAGTGGATTTGCCTGTTCTGTTCCCCACTGTCTCTGTGAATCCTCTCACCCTCCCACCTTTGGCCTACACCCCGGCTCTTGTATGCATAAATAAATAGAGTAAATCTTTTAAAAATATTAAAATTAATATCTTCAGACTTATATATTCTACATTGATTGTTCAATACAGTTTTTTGCCTATTTCTAGTCATCTAGCCTTCCCTCTCTGCCACTCAATAGAGACTGTCAAACCTGTGACCACTTCGCTCTTTCCTTACTTGACCTATTGACATCATTGGTCATAGACATTCTTTTCTAGAAGCAGCTTTTTTTTTTTTTAAATTTATGCATACAGAACTGGGGTACAGGCCAGAGGTGCAAGGGGCGGTGAGAGGATTCACCAGAGATAGAGTGGGGAGCAGAACAAGTAGATTAACTGCTGAGGAGAGCAGCAGGTGAGACAGGAGAGGTCTGCTGCGCCATGTGGGTCAGCTTCCTGGCCAGAAATCAAACTCTGTGCTGAAGCTTCATAGTGCTGTGCTTTAACTTGTGCCACCGGGGAGGGACCCGAAACAACTTTTTTTTTTGCCTTATATAAAATCATGCTCTTCTTAACTCTAGGACATTTTTTTGTTCAATAGCTGCATGTTAATTTTTGGGTCTCATTTTTTCTATATTAATTCTTCCAAGGTGAGTTTGTCCTATCCTATTACTTTAGAATCTAAGTGATAATGATTTGTAAATCTCATCTTCAGCTCTGACCTCTAGAACTCCAGATGCATACAGCCAATTGCCTGCTTGACTTTGTCACTTGGATAACTAGGGGACATACTAACTTCAATAAGGCCAAAGAGGAATTCTTGATTCTTAATCCAGCTACTCTACCCAAACTGTTTAATACTCTAATCTTTACCCTTTTTTGGAAATGGAATCACCATCTCTACAGTTACTAAAGCCATAAATCCTTTTCCTCTATTTCTCTCACCCACAAATCCCATCCATCTCTAAATAAGACCTACCTACTGTATTCCAGTTCTATATTTGAAGTCTCTTCTCTCATCTTTACCATACAAATCTAATTCACTACCCTTTTGTTTGCTCTTTTATTAAATAGATTAAACTTTGTTTTCTTACATTGTTGGATTTTTTTTTTAAACAGTATTTGTAGTCTCTATACCACCACATCACCTTGAGCCATTACCATAGTCCATAGTGCTGTTCCCTCCCCTGTTTTGCTTGCTCTTTTGCTGTTACCTCCTACCAGACCTCTTAGGTCTTCTAACTTCTAATTTTCCCTACCCTTCTTGAGCATTTTCTGCATAGCACCTAGATCATTTTAGATTTGAGTCTGCTTGCTCCTTTATTTAGAACTCTTAGATTTTCCCTACTGCACCACAAGGTAAATAATTTCTATTTTATTTCACTTGTTCTACTTGACCTCAAGATGTAGATCTTAGTCTATTTATCCCCTCATCTCTTTCCACTCTCTTTCCTCACTATATTTAATTCCTCAATTCTTTCTGGCAAGTGAAGTTTATTCCTGCCTTACAGCCATTGTAATAGCTGTTCCATCAGCTGTTCACAATAGCTGTTTATTCTCTCTGAGCTTTGCATAATTGGTTCCTTTTTTGTCATTTAGACCTCTGCATTGTGCTTACCTCTTCAGTCTTCTTTAACCACTCAACCCCCAGTAGCCATTCAAGGATGTGTTGCCTCAATTTACTTCTCTACATGGAAACTCACTGTTTAGTATTTTCTCCTCTACCAGCTTGTCTATCTTAAACCATTAGAATAAATTCTCTGAAATTAGAGATTTTTAAAAACCATTGCTATATCGCTGTGTCTAGATTATATGCACACTTTGGACATATTGCTGATTTGGTTCCAGACTACTGCAATTAAGTGAATATTGAAATAAAATGAAGCACACAGGTTGTTTGGTTTCCCAATGCATATAAAGTTTATAATTAAACTATATGGCTGTCTATTAGATATGCAGGAGCATTGTGGCTAAGGCTATATATATATATACTCATATATATATGTATGTATATGTATATATGTTTATGTATATATCTTAAGGTGTGTATATTGATAAAAAATGTTAATCATTACCTGAGCCTTCAGTAAGCTGTAGTCTTTTTACTATTGAAGGATCTTGTCTCAGTGTTGATGACTGCTGACTAATGAGGTTGGTTGTAACGGAAGGTTGGGGAGGCACCTGCAATTTTTAAAAATAAGACAACAATGAAGTTTACCACATTATTTCATCTTTTCACAAAGGTTTCTCTGCAGGATGTGATACTGTTTGATAGCATTCTACCCTATCTAGAGCTCCTTTTAAAATGGAAGCGAATGCTTAAACCTCAAGGCTACTTTATTAAAACATGTTATGTAATCTTCCAAATTCTTAGTTCATTTACTTGAAGTTGCCTGGTTCTTCAGGAACAAAGGACAGTAGGGGTTCTACTCACAGACTTCTACTGTAGGATCACAGTGATCTGTAGCTGGAAGGGACCTTTAATATTCCTTAGTTCAGCTGGATTTCTCTAGATGTGAGAATTTCCTGCATAGCATGTTTTAGTCATCTTCCATTAGATCTTTCAGGCATAGGGAACTAGCATCTTCCTTTTGATGTAACCCATAGTATTACTGGGCAGCTGTACAGCCCAGAGGATTATCTTTGACTTGGACATTGTGCTAGTACAAGGGACATGAAGAATGAGACTTTTACCCTTATGAGTTCATAATTCAAGGGTCCTCCCTGGTGGCTTAATGTGTTAAAATGCAGCACTAGGAAGCTGGCCACAACCGCTTCAGCACAAGTTCAATCCCCAGCCAGGGAGGTGACCCACCTGGCATGGCAGACCTCTCCTGTCTCACCTGCTGCTCCCCTCAGCAGTGTACTTTGTCAGTCTGCCTGTTCTCCCCACTCTGTCTCTGGTGAATCCTCTCACCACCCCTGCTCCTCTGGCCTGTCCTCCAGTTCTGTATGCACAAATAAATATTTAAAAATAAAGAAGTTCATAATTCTAACATGTAATGATGGATAGTTGATACACACACACACACACACACACACACACAGAGGTGGATATAAAATACCTAATGAAGAGTGCTAAGTATTATATTAGAGTCCTTCTTTTTCCCCCTCCTTCCAATCCCTGGTCTGCTTTCTGTCTCTGTGAAAGACTATCTGACTATTCTGGGTGCTTCATATAAATAGAATCATACAATATTTATCTTTTTGTGTCTGGTTGATTTCACGTGGAATATTTGTTTTCGGGGTTTATCAATACTACAGCATATGTCAGATTTTCTTTTTTTTTTAAGATTTATTTATTTATGCATACAAGAACTGGAGTGTAGGCCAGAGGTGCAGGGAGGCAAGAGGATTCACTAGAGACAGATTGGGGAGCAGAACAGATAGATCTACTGAAACACACTGCTGAGGGGAGTAGAAGGCAAGACAGAAGAGGTCTGCTGTGCCGTGTGGGTCATTTCCCTGGCTGGGGATCGAACTTGTGCTGCAGTGGCTGCAGTAGCTTCATAGCGCTGCGCTTTAATGTGTTGCACCACCAGGGAGGGCCTGAATTTCTTTTTAAAGCTGAATAATATTCTATTGTATGTATGTACTACTTTTTGTTATGTACAATTTCCTGGGCATTGA